AGGAGGCTGCCACTTCCATGAGTTACCACGAAATTGACGGCCTCTAAATGACAGCCTCAATTGATTTTATTTTTTAACGCTGGGAAGCTGCAGCTTCCAATCAGCCCGTCCACTCTGCTTAATAATTGCAGGAATGCTATAGTTTGTGGAAGCTGAAGCTTCCACGGAAAGAACACAACCTTAGGGTTCTTGTTCCTTGGAAGCTATGGATTCCACATCTGTAGTGCTTCCCGCATTTGCTTACGAGAAGTGCAACATTATGAAGTGGCAGCTTCCAAAGTATGAGGAAGAGGTGTCTTTGACAGCTCCCTCTTGCATAAAATGAAAACACCTTTAAGCGGCGTTTGATAACTTTTACTGCAGTTTCACAATGATAGTACACTTTTCGTTGTATTTTTGAAACGACATGAGGTATAAAAAATAAGGGAATATATATTAGGAGACCATTTAATTTTAGTACAAGTAGGTTATAATTATCTTTAGCAACTAGATTTGAAATCTTCACACAAAACAAGTCACAAAATTCGAGAAAATTTTATTAAGCATTGTGCACAACGGCAATAGCTAGCCACTTGATCTCATATTTGACAGATAGGTAAATAGTCATGTCCTATACTTTCTTCAATAATTATCGTGTTCATATATTTGTCCCAAGCATGAGGCGTTGTTTGGAGGTTTTGGTAGCCCTTCCAGCTTTCTTCTTTTTTCTTTTTTCTTTTTTCTTTTTTCTTTTTTCTTTTTTCTTTTTTCTTTTTTTTTTTTTTTTTTTGTTTTGAAATCATCTCAGCTTTATTTTTAGCTTATCCTAATTAGTTGGGAAAACGATTTGACCATGATAATGATCCCTACCTTATATTTACCTACCATTATGGAAAAACTGTGAAAATAGGCTATCGTGTTGCCACAAATATTTGTAACAATATTTTTATTTTTTTTACCACCAATAGTAAAAGAATTGGTTTTTTTTTTTTTAATCAACTCAATATTTTGGGAATTAGATTCATTCCTAAAGTTGCGCATGTGAACAGCAGTTTGCCAAGCTGGCACACCCCCTGCTATGAAAAGCCACTTACTGATTGCTAAAATAATGGACATCCAAACATGGCCCAAACCTTTTCCTGGTACAATGATATTTGAACTCTTTGTGGTTTGTTGAGCCAAAGAGTTATGTGATAATCTGTGTGGCTCTCATGTTACAACAATGACACTATTTTTGCAACATTGGCTCTCTTGTTATAACAATGGCTACTTGTGGCCTATATCTATGCTTTGCTTGTATTTGGTTTTCATAGATACGGCTGGTCCTTTGAGCTCTACCACTTCGTAGTTTTTGTCTTGTTTTTCTTTTACTAAATTTATTCTCATTTCCCTCTCTTAACAAATTTTTTAAAAACACTCTCTTAAAAAAAAATGAAATTATGTAAGATCTTGCAAATGAATGCTATAATAAGAGAGTAACCCAAAAGCCAATTTTCTTGCAATAGTATAATGTAATATATAACTTCAATAATAGATGAGGCAGTTGGTCTTGATTCAATAGCCAAATTCAGTTATAATAAGTTCTGTTGGGAAGTTGTGGCTTCCCGACTATGTGTGAATCAAAGAAAATTTATCAAATATCAGAAAATGAAAACATACAAATTTGCAAGAAATTAGAAATAAACCAAACACCAAGATTTACGTGAAAAACACTTCAAAAAAAAAAAACCAGAAGCCACCACAGATGAAATCTACTATGTAGAAAAAATAATTACTGTTATTCCTAACTTGAGGATTTAGGAACAAGAAAAAATAGAAAAACACAAAGTTACCACTATGGGAACAATCTTCTTCTTCCTCTCCTTCTTAAAAGAATCACTTATTTCCAACTTTATTGGAGAACATCTTTAATCATATAGAAAACCCTAAGTAAACCTTTTGAGATTTTTGGAAAAAAACCCTTTGTAATTTTTTTAAAATCTCTCAATCAATTGTAATGGCAAACACTGCAAGAATTACTTTTAACATCTTGATCTCACTTAGTGAGAGAGAGAGTGTGTGTGTTGGACTCAATAAAAATTAACTTTTACCAAAATGGATTATATGCTTATGGGGGAGATTGTACATTCACTTTCTTAGTTGAAACCCTGTTTAAGGGTACTTGAACCTATATCTGGGGGTCTAACCTGCTCAACTCATCTTAGGGACCAACTTCAGAAGAAAAAGGCATACACACTCTATATGTGCCTCAAAAAGTACCTAAAATATAATACAAACCATCTAATTTTTAGACGATCAGATCCAAGTGTTTTGGAACTTAAAATCTGTTTTTTTTTTTGTTTTTTTTAAATACTCGTATAGTGATTCTAAAGTAGAATTCAAATTTCAAATTAAGAAAAATCTCTTAAGCCTGATTCAAATTTCAAATTAAGAAAAATCTCTTAAGCCTGAGGGAGCTAATGAATTGTGCAAATTTATTCCTATAGAGGAATTTTAGAAATATATAGCTTAGTTTTCCGCAGACACGTTCAAATAGGAAATGGCAAATTTACCCCCAAAAAAAAATCATTTTATGATCAAAACATGTGTATTTTATATTTTACTCTCAAGTACCCCTTTTTAAGAACGTTCATCATACTTTAATTTTGTTTTCTTTTCTATTCATTGCATTCAGCTCAAATTTAAGAGTCGGCACCTCTCACCATCTCACATGGGTCAAAAATACCTAAAAATATTTTAAAAATATATAAAATAACAAAACTTCCCCTAAAATATTGACATATAGGGGTGGTTCAAACATTTTATTTAACTTAATTATAGTTTGATAGTTTTTACTAGTGTACTATAGTGACAAGTACAGATGCTCAAAATTCAAGCTTAATTGAAAAGATAGAAAAAACAAAATTAAAATATAATATTCAAT